TTCATTCATTCATTCTTTTGAGGCAGGATCTCATGAAGTTGCCAAGGTTGGCCTTGAACTTGTGATCTTCTTGCCTTAGCCCCAGAAGTTGCTGGCTTTGTATGTATGGGCTACCACATCAGGCTAGTAATTGAATTTGAAGGGGTTTTAAAGTTAGCGCATAACCTAGTCTCATGGAATAACCTAGTCTCATGGATATAAGTGTAAGTTAAAGCCAGCAAGGACCTACTTTGTACCATGATAAAACTTTCAATAAATTGTAGTCAGTTTATCGATTATGCAGATCTTTTTTTTTTTTTTAGAGATAATTTTTTAATACTTATTTTTTAGTTTTCGGTGGACACAACATCTTTGTTTGTATGTGGTGCTGAGGATTGAACCCGGGCTGCACGCATGCCAGGCGAGCTTGAGCCACATCCCCAGCCCCTATGCAGATCTTTTAACAGAATACCTTATTTAAGCTTTTTAGCTACTCTTATCTACAGGTGAATAAATTAAAGATCTGACATTGTAAGCATTTTGCCAAAAGTTGCTTAGAGGATTTGGATCTATACCCTGTACTTTTTCTTTTCCTCTGTTCTAAGGATAGGATGCTGTTTGAGAATTGTCTGTGACAGTTTTATTTCTATTATATGTGTGATATTCTTATTTTTTCTAATGTGAAAAATTTACCAAAATGCTAATTTTGACTTATATGGTATTTAACAGACTCCTGAAAAAAAGCAGAATGACCAGCGAAATCGGAAAAGAAAAGCTGAACCGTATGAAACTAGCCAAGGTAGTAATACTTTCACACCAATGAAAATTCTGAATTCTTATGTACTTAAGAATTTTACAGTAAATAATTAGTTTATATCCAAGGATTCCAATCAAAGAAGGTTTGTGTATCTTAAGGGAATATCAGGCTGTTTATTATATACTTGTCATTTGATATACACCTGACAAAACCTTCAGTTCTTTGGGGATTCTTGTTTGCCCTGTTGTACTTTAATGATCTTCTCACTGCAGGATATTCTTCAGATTTAACATGCATTGTGTGGAGAGGAGGTGACATTATAGTTTTAACTATTTCTTACATTAAATCAATGATTTGTTAATAGTGGTAGCCATAAGTGATTTCATTTTATTGCTATTCTTCCATGCCAATTACTTAGTTTAGTTGCACATTGGAGACTGGAATAAATTTATAAACGTGATAGTTTAGTGCCGTATATTTTATATAATTAAAGAAAGAGTAGATGGTTTGACTATTTCCCCCTCTCTTTTAAGGAGTGACAATCTCTTCTTGCATTATTCTTAGCTTTATAAATATAGATAATTCATCCAACATAACAATATTATGTAGTTCTGTGTGAAATAGAATCAACTCTGTAGTTGTGATAAGTTTGTTTGAACCTCTGTTTTCTTAAATTGAGATGTGGATTAAAGATGAAGTTTGGTTTTATTTCCCAATTATGGCACATTTTGTTAGTATTTATAAAAGAAAGATTATTGTATCTTAATGGAAAACAAGCTGTGAAAAATTCTTTCCTGTACTCCTAGTTCAGTTACTTATTGTATGGAGTAAACAGTCTGTTCTTAGAGTACAGGTATTTTGGTTCATTTGATAAAATAAAGTTGATGGTAGCAGTGTTTTCGGTTACTGAATATATTATGCATTTTGGTGAATGATGGTTTACTTGTGCATTGGAAAAACTGTACTTACTTTGGTTTCATTTTCAGGGAAAGGCACTCCTAGGGGACATAAAATTAGTGATTACTTTGAGGTAAGTTTACTTTTTTGGGAAAAAAAATCTGCAGTGATTTTACGAAAACCAAAGTCCTTGTGTTCATTTACAGTATTAGAAAGCAATTATTTTGCTTTTGCTATGATTTCCCCACCATCTTTCTCCCCGTCTTCATCAACCTAATGCTGCCCCATTTCTCAATAAGAGGAAATTGATGCTGACTTTGTAAATTTAAGGTTTTTTTAAAATTATTATTATGTGTCTTATCTGTGATGATATAAGAATTCACATATAAGGTGATTTTTTTTTTTTTTCCTTCTGACCAGACTAGGTTTTGTGTCTTTCAAAGATTAAGGTGGAATGACTTGGACTCTTCTTTTGTCCTCTTCCCTTAGTCCAGTGGAACATGGCCCATCCTTAGTGACCCATCCTTAGTGGTATTAAAGAAGACTAACACCCACTGCACCACTGTTTTTCTGCTTTGTGTATTTTGAGATAAGAAGGGAATACATTCTTCTCTCATGTCTTTTCAAAACCACATACACTTTCAGCTTTCTAGCCATTTCTGTAGGAACTCTTTCTTAAAAAATCTAGTTGAAAAGATAGTGGAGTTTGGCTTATGTGGCATTTTTCTCTCTAGAATAAGATGTATTGACTTAAGGGGGCCATGTATAATTAACACCTGTTTGTGTTTTAATCTTTTACTCTCCTATCTGAAGCATAGTACTGTTTTGAATTATTCATATCCATTTTTCCCTGTTGGCCAGTTTGCTGGGGGAAGCGGGCCAGGAACCAGCCCTGGCAGAAGTGTTCCACCAGTTGCACGATCCTCACCGCAACATTCCTTATCCAATCCCTTACCGGTAAGCATTCACCTGGAGAAATTTGACACCTGTTATAGGAGACCAGAAACCCAGGAACACTCAGCATCTTTTTTTTTTTTTTCCATTAATTACCCATGGGGAATTAGGCATCAGGGAGAGAACTCATGCTATTGCCTATGAATCAGACTTAGATTCATGTCAGTACCAGTAAATTAACTTTGTTCAAGAGCTGGTCCTATTCTCTCAGTATAATAAATTGCCTCTAAACCTGTATAGCTCATTTATCTGTCAAGGAAGTGATTCCAGTCCAAACATGAGCTTTTTATCCTTGCTACACTTACATGTTCTAATTTTTTCTTTTTTTTTCTTTTAAAGTTTGGTTCAGGTCCTGGTATTTGAATTACCTCTAGGGCTCACTCAGTGATAGAAAAGCTAATTCCATACAGATTTGAGATAGGTTTTTGCCCAGACTTTAAGTGAGATCCCAAGGTCTTAAAAACATTGTACATCATTAAGTGATTTTTAATTTTGGGCAGTTAATGCCCCTTAGGGAATATTTGTCAACATCTGGTGTCATTTTGATTGTCACAACTTAAGGGATGAGAGGATAAGTGCCATAGCATCTACTGGGCAGAGGCTGGTAAACATCCTGTGAAGTTAGGACAGCTGCTATTACTATGGATACAAATGTCAGTAGTGCCGAGGTTGATATTCCTGAACTAGCCAGAGTAGGATTCTGTGTTAATTTGCTCCAGTGTCTTTGAATAATTTGTTGATGCTAATCAAGACCTCTGTACTCAAGAGCACTCTGTCCATAATGCTGTAGGTGTTGCCTTAGGTGGGATCTTTGGGATTGGGGTTGCTGAAATTGTAAGTTTGCATCCTAGATCTGCTTGTTTAGGAAGGTTGTTTTTCTTTACCTTAATAGAGTTGGATAAACTGCTCCTAAGTGATTTAGATTTTTGTATTTTTAAAGCATTTAAAAATGCACTTCCTTCCCTTCTACTAGCTCATTAAAACATGGCATCAGGATGATTGTAATTGTTAACATACTTATGAAAACATAAGTTAAAATGACAACTTAGGATTTTTTTGTTAGGATTTTTTTTCATCCTTACCATATTTTTTAAATATTAGAAATGTTTGATATGTAGAGCTGTTTGGATAGGTTCTTAGATAACTGTTGAGGAGGCTGGTGTCTCTTTTTCCTTAGGTTTTAAACCAATTAAAGTTTAAAAATATTAAATGAGATTGCAGATTATATTTTGGAAATATGTTTTGTTACATTTCTGAATGTTGTCCATTACTTTTTTCTTCCTGAAATTCTTTTTTGATTTTTATATTGTGACCATCCATCATATGCCACTTAAGTTTGTACCTAAAGACAAAAGAGATGTATTTAATGATCTGTAGGCATTTTCTGCTAGCTTTATGAATAATACTGGACTTCATCATATGCAAATCTAAGCATATATAAGGTATTGAAATAGGAACCAAACCTTAATTTCCTTTCTCCATTGCACTGAGAAGCTCTTTATCATCCCACTTGTATTCTGTCCCTCATTATTATTATAGTCAATGATGTGTGTATACTACTTAATTCCTTTACTCTTTCTCCATCATATTTGCCTGGAAAAAAACCAGCCATAATTAAATCTAATTCTCTAACTTTGCCTTGCCTGCCTTTAATTAAGCAGGTCACTGTGGCTGAAGAAAAACAACACTCACTCAAGTTGATTGATCTCACTTTATGTTCATGACCCACTAACCTCAGGTGTCCCTCTAGTTGCATGCTAGTCCTGCTGTATTTCTAGTTAGTTCCCTTTCCTATGAAAATTGTGTCCTGCAAACCTCCAAACTTTAAACTGATGGTCTTGCTTTTTTATTTTACTGAGAAAATAGAAACAATCAGGAAAAGAACTTTCATGTGCTCCTACTTCACATCTGACATACTATTTGCATCAACACTGGGCAGAGGCCAGGGATGTTAGTAAACATTCTACTAAGACAACCTCCCTACAGCAAGAATTACCTGATCCAAAATGTCAATAGTGCCAAAGTTGATAATACCTGAGCTAGATATTGTAGTAAGGTATCTCTTGCACCAGTATTTATATGTGACTTTAGGGATGAATGAACTTGCGCATCCTTCATATGGATTCTGATAATTATGTATCCAGCTCCCCATTTGACATTTACAAGTATGTATCTAACACACAACTTGAACTTCTACATGTCTAAAATGGAACCCTTCATACCAAAACAACAAACTGCTCTTCCTATAATCTAACCTCCTGGTAAATGACAGTGTTTTTCATCCAGTTATTCAGATTATAACTCGTTCCCCAAATATAATCCACCAGAAAACCCTGTTTTTCCTTTAAAACATATTAGATTCCAACCATTTTTTGATCTTTTGGATCTCTGCCTTAGTGTCCAGCATAGTCTCCCTATTTTTTCCCCTTGTCTCACATGTGCCTGAGTGATTGTTAAGAAAAGTCTCAGGGGCTGGGGTTGTAGCTCAGGGGTGCAGAGCGCTTGCCTAGAGTGTGTAAGGCCCTGGGTTTGATTCTTAGCACCACATCTAAATAAATAAAAATAAAGGTCCATTTACAACTAAAATAAATTAAAAAAAAAAAAAGAATTTAAGGATCACTCTGCCATTCCTCTGTTTAGAACTGTTCATTTGCTTCCGACACTGTGCTTAACAGCCTCTATATGATCATCCTCCTGCCACCCATGCAGTGACAACCATACTGGCCTCCTCCAACACTGTGAAGTACTTTTTTGCTTCATGACCTTTGTCTTGTTATTCACTCATTCAAAACATTCTTTTCCCTATACCAACAATCACTTCAACATTTTGTTGCTCAAAAACGACATTAGAGAGGAGGGGTGGTACACTCCTTTAGCCCTAGCAACTTGGGAGGTTAAAGCAGGACGATCACCAAGTTCAGATCCAGCCTCAGAAACTTAGCAAGGCCTGCCTCAATTTTTTTTTAAAAAAGGGAAAACAAAATAAATTAAAAAAAAAGACCTTAGCAGAATGGTCTTCGCTGTCCAGCTTCTCCAAAATTGCATTTCTTTAATTTTGTCACTCTGTTTCTAGTCCTTGAATCTTGTTTTTTAGTTTAATTCTTAATTTCTTACCCCCTACACCCAAATGCATACACACACATAAATTTTGATATATACCTAACATTTTTAAGTGATTCATGTTTATACTTAACAGAAGAGTACACATACCCAGTGTTAAGTCTGTAGTTCAGTGAGTTTTCACAAACTGTACCAGCATAAAAAACAAAACTATTACCAACTCTGCAGAAGTCTTCTATGTTCCCTTCCATTTTTTAACCCCCTCTCTGTCACCAGACATCACTGCTGTCTAGCATAACATTTTCCCCCCCTGTTTTTATACTTTTTGTAAACTTTTATGTCTGGCTTCTTTTTACTTGTGTGAGATTTATTCATATTGTGTTTATTGGAGATCATTGCCATTGATTAGTGGTATTTTTTAAAATAATGTTTTACTTAATAATTTATTTCAGTTTTTAACTATAATTTGTTTCTCATGTAATCTGACTAGAATGATAATTTCATGAGAGTAGGGTCTTTTTTTTTTTTCTTTTTTGTTTTTTCTTTCCTCCTCATTTTGCTTTAGCAGTACAGAAGGGTGCTCTACCACTGAATTATATCTCCTGCTCTTTTTATTTTTTATATTGAGACAGAATCTTGCTAAATCGCCTAATCTGGCTTCAAACTTGTGATCATCTTGTCTCTGCCGCCTGAGTTGCTGGGATTACAGATACATGCCACTGCATATGGCTCTACACCTTTCATTCTTATACTTTTGACTTTTTGCTAATATGTTTTCTGGCAAATATCATACTGTTCTTTTTTTTTTTCTTTATACAACCTAAAATTTTTCTTTTAACTTTTATTCTATTTACAACAATTAAATATGTTGCCTTTTAGTATGTTTTCTGCTTGTCTTGCCTCTTTTACCTTCTTTTTTCTTTCATGTTTTACTTTCATTTAGATAGATTTTTTTGTTGTCATTGTGAAATCATTTCATGTTTTCTTCTTCTAGTAGCAGCTAGGTCCTCTTTGGTGTTTCTCTCAGAAATTCCAACATGCATATTAAGTATGCCAGTATTACCTTCTTCCCAAGTGTCAAATGCTGATCTTGGAGCACTAACTTATTTACCCTGCTACTGACTTAGTTGGGGACAGGGTATGTTTTTTATTTTGTTTTTTAAAAAGTCATAAGTCAAGCATGGTGGTACACACCTGTAATCCCAGTGGCTTGGGAAACTGAAGTAAGAGGATCACAAGTTCAGAGCCAGCATTAGCAACTTGGCAGACCCTGTCTCTCATAAATAAATAAATGAATGAATGAATGAATGAATGAATGAATGAATGAATAGAAATAAAAAATTAAAAGCCTAGAAGTATAGCTCAGTGGTAGAGTGCCTCTGGGTTCAATCCCGAGAACCACCAAAAACCAAAAATACAAATAATAAAATATCTCATAAAACATTATTGTTTCATGCTCTCCCTATTCATTTAGATTTATCTATATATTTACTTTTTGGAGGAGAGGGGATATTTTCTTATTGCATCTTATACCTTCTATTTGAAGTCACTTTCTTTTTTGCCTTTGATATATGTCTGCTAGGATTTAACTCTAGGTTTTTGTTTGTTGAAATAACTTTATTTTTCCCTGATTTTTGGAAGTTTTTTTTTCTTTTGCTTGTGATTTGTTGGGCTTTTAGAATCTGTAGGTTGTTGTGTTTTACCATTTCCAGATATAATTAGCCATTATCTCTTCAAATATCATATCTGCCCCATTCTTTTTTTCCTCAGCAAACTATATGTCAGACCATCTATTTTATCACCACGCCTCATGCCTCTTAACTTCATTTTTTTATATTCTTTTTGTCTCTATTTGGATACTTTTGCCTTTCAGCACCAAAATTATCTGGGTTTTCCCTCTAATTAGCTGTTAACCCCATTTGTTTCTTAATTTTTGTTGTTGC